TCATCAATAAATCAATGATTTGATCAGAGTATTGATCAGGAGGTGTTAACACTCATCATCATGTAGTTTTGATTTCATGTTTCAGGACCACTTCTCCTCTTTGAATGTATTTTTACAACAGCTTGGTTTTCTTGAAAATCTACAGACAAAGTTTCCAACATTTCTYTTCTTCGTTCTTCTTCCTGTTGATTGATTTTTGTTCTTCTCAGACAAATCTCACAAACAGTCCTTCTGGTGACTTTGTTTGTTTCAGAGTCAGAGAGTCGTGTCCTCGGAGGTTTTTGTACGACGGCTCAGTGAGTCTGTGTCACTGTGGTACACGTTTGGTGGAGGAACCAGACTGGATGTTGGAAGTAAGTCAAATATTTATAAACTCTTTTATTTCCTCTCTCTTTTYATTTCCTTCATATTCATCAAGCGCAGGAAGAGAAGCTGTGTTTCCACGTGGATTGAAGCTTTTTCAAACCTTCTCAACAAAGTTAGTTTGAGCAGCAGAAACTGTACAAAGTCCCTGTAATGAAGAACAAACATTAAGATTATAGGATGAAGCATTTCCCCCACGTTTCATTATGAAGTTGCATCTTGAGGCTTTGCTGCTTTAGCTGCGTCAAACAGAGTCAGAGAGTCGAGTCTCTGCAGTCGGAGGTTTTTGTACGACGGCTCAGTGAGTCTGTGTCACTGTGGTGGACGTTTGGTGGAGGAACCAGACTGGATGTTGGAAGTAAGTTTCTGTTCAGATTCAAGTTCACATTGTAAATTCAGTTTTGAAATGTCTGCAGAAGATGAAGCTCCCTTGTTTCATTCTYTACACTTTTATTCTTTACACTGTTTTTATTTCTCCTCCTTCATCCTGCAGCTGAACTCAGATCAGCTTCACTTCACACAGTCCGGCTGAAATTTAAGTTGAACCGTAGAAAAGATATAAAGTCAGYGGAAGGGTTTTTTTAGGATTCCTTTCTAATCTAGAAGATCGACTGTTTCRAGATGAACCAAGTTTCCCTTTGTTCACATGTTTTAGAATATAGGACAAGATGGTGAACGTCCCCGGGACAAACACCATCTTGTCCTGTATGAACTACACTGAGTGAACGTTATGTCCTAATGTTGTAACAGACGTGGTTTTGATCCTAGTTTCTTTTGTTCAAACCAGCGATTGAATCCCTCGTGAAGAACTCACATCATTTGATGTTTGTGTCCATGTTGTGTGTGTTTTAGATTTGTGATGATTTTGTGTGTTTAATAATTGAGCAGAATCCGTTTCCAGCGTGGATGTATTTGAGGTGTGTGCTGATTCTGTGCTGATGTGCATGAGAGGCTTGTTAAAGGGAAGTGAAACAGCGACTGGAGCAGAAAGCTAAAGAGTGTGTGGTGTTTGACTGACAGCTGCCTGCTCCCTGTGCTCTAAGTCGATGGCTGTGTCCTACAGGTGATGTCCRTCCCACCCTGACGGTGCTAACCCCCTCCAGCGAGGAGCTGCAGCAGGGGACGGCCTCGCTCATGTGCCTGGCCAACAAGGGCTTCCCCTCCGACTGGAGACTGTCCTGGAAGGTGGACGGCAGCAGCGGTGGCAGCTGGGAGGAGAGCAGGAGCCCCGGGGTGCTGGAGAAGGACGGCCACTACAGCTGGAGCAGCACCCTGAGGCTCCCTGCAGAGCAGTGGAGGAAGGTGGGCTCTGTGACCTGCGAGGCCTCCCAGGGCTCCCAGACTCCGCTGTCAGAGACACTGAGGAGAGACCAGTGTTCCCAGTCCTGACCTGGCACTCTGCTGCTGGTTCTGCTCTGCTCCTGGTCTCAGKCTCTTCACGGCTCGGAGTCTGATCCAAATCAATCTTCATGTAGTGATGATTTCTTGCTTGAAATCCTTTCAGAGAATAAAGATGTTTGTGTTTGAATCAAAAAYGTTTCCTTGGATTTGTGAGTCAAACAGACGTTTTCATTTTGCCGTGGTCTAATAAACCAGGTGAGCACAGAGGTTGAGTGAAGCTCCTCTGAAATGAGCTCCAGACAAATCTTCAAGAGTTTGACATGATTGGTCAGATAAAGGGAGATATCGCCCACATGAACCCAGCAAATCCCCCAAATGTTCAGGATCAGAAATGAAAGACGGGACATCGTCAGCATCAAGTTGAAGAATCAGACGGAGATTTTCTGCCTCTCTCTGACAAAGTAATCTGCAGTTCGTTCTCCCAGCTGACCCTAATTTTGTTAACCACGGAGTCTATAGACGGAGAAGGGAGGTTATAAAAATAAGAGATAAGGCCCTTAGGAAGAGTTTTAGCTTTGAGTATTAGATCCGCACCATTTGGAGGTGGGATTTGAGGGAACTGGGAGGAGTAAGTCTACGCAAAATCACGTAGCTGAAAATATCTTAGGAAATCTGAGCTAGTCAACTTAAAGGTCGCGTGCAATCGTTCAAAACTTGCAAATAAGCCGCCTGTGTACACATCTCTCAAGCTGCGGAGGCCATTCCTATCCAAGGACTTATATCGAGGGTCAATTTTAGCAGGCATGAATAAATGAYTATTGCAAATGGAGTTGTCTGAGGGAGAGTAAGCCAGCCGGAGTGACGCCTGATTTGAGCCCAGATTTTCAAGGTGCCACTCGCTATAGGATTAGATGTGAAATGTAGTGAAGGAGAAAGGAAGGTGACTACAAACCAGGGCCTGAAGCGAGGAAGAGGGACATGACTTAGCTTCCATCTGGCACCAGTCACTCTGAGCTGAGGTGAACCATAGCATAACCTTATGGGCGTTTGATGCCCAGTAGTAGC